ATTCACTGTCTTCCAACATCAAGCTCAGAAAAATTGAATGAAATACAACTGTTGATCCGCCCCGTTTATATTCTGCCCCTTTCACAATAAGAGCGCATTCTGATGTGAAATATATACATTTGTGTCTGCCACACAGCCCCCCCACCCCTGAACACACCAAATGTCACAAACACCAAAAACACAAATTGTGAAACTCATTACAGGTGTAAAACACACACCAAATAAATAAATAAATAAATGAAATACCTAATGATAATGGCTGGGATAAGGCGGCCACCATGGCTGCTCTTCACAGCGACAGAGGTTAAAAGTGAAGGAGACTCTCTGGACCGACTAACACTTAACTGTTCACCTGAGGGAGGCAACCCAGCTGTAGGGGGAAAACCTGGAAGAGTGGGCAAAGAAACTGGGGGACGGCCACGACGAGGTGGCTGAGCCAATTCAACCAGGTCCACTGGCAAAACATGAGTCAGTTTCAAACGGTCCACCAAAACACTTTCTTGAATACCCTCCAACTCCACCAAAAAATTTTTAGGTCCCCTCTCCAAAACATGAAATGGACCATCGTAAGGAGGCTGAAGTGGTGAACGGTGTGCATCATGGCGGATAAATACATACTCGGCCGACATAAGGTCCTTTGGCACAAACACTTGTGGAAGGCATTGATGTGTTGCCAATGGGGTCACAGATCTATTTTCCCCTGTTAGGACCTCCCTACTCCCTTTGGGAATAACTGAACTCGCCAGACCTGGAAGAAACTCCCCTGGTACCCTCAAAGGCTGGCCAAGGACGAATTCAGCTGAAGAAAATAGCAGGTCCTCTTTAGGAGCTGAACGCAGACCCAACAAAACCTAAGGAAGGTGATCCATCCAACCATTATCCACCAATGAGGCCCGCAATGCAGCCACGACTTGGTCTTGTCTGTAGTTATCCCACGGAGATGAAACTGGGCTTCCGAATGCTGGAACCATGGTTCTGGATCGTGTTGCCAGAACTCCGGAAGCTTAACAATGGCCGCAAACACAGCAGATGAAGCGGCAGTAGGAGACAAGACCACGGCGGTTGAAGCAACATCTGCCCAGCAAAAAATTTGGTCCGAAAACACGGCTGATGGAGAAGCGATGTCAGCATCTGGTGAGTTCTCATTCGAAAACATGTTCAGATGTTCAGGGTCACCAATGTGGAAGTCGGCAGAAAGAGACAAAAAATATTTTGAGTCTCGATTTATTCTCTACGTCTTCCAACATCAAGCTCAGAAAAACGAATGATCCGCTCCGTTTATATTCTGTCCCTTTCACAATAAGAGCACATTCTGACATGAAATATATACATTTGTGTCTGCCACAACTTCATAATTGCCACTTCTGCTATTTCCATCTTAGTATTTTGTTTAACTCATCAACGTTCGATCAAGGAGAAAAAAACAAAAAAACAATACATTATGAATACACCGAGCATCACGTTGCAGCAAGCTTTTCAGACAAAAAGAACAGCGACCTATTTTTCTGAATGAATGAAAATGCCTTGCATGACTCTAAACTGAGTAACCAAAGGACATCCTGTGCCTCAGTGTTTGCTGATTGGAGCCAGAGTAGGGGATGGCTGTGTTCTGTAGGTCCTGTGAGGTGAGGGTTACGGTGGAAAAAACAACTCAAGTCTCCGCCTCAGCACCAAACGGGGGGAACAACACAAACGTAATCAGCTGCAGGAGGCACCGACACACACGTGAACACTAATATCTAAAAGACACAACTTGTGTCTCGGTCTGCTATGCTACATTTTACAAAATAAAAATTACTTGTTTGCCATTCATAAAAACACTTAACCTTGGATTTCTGCATTGTAAACTATATTTCTATATTATTTTATGCTAAATGGCACTTGTAAAGTTATTTTACGTCTTTAAAGTAGGGGTCTGCCGATCAATCCAAGTGTTGATATTATCAATAGCAATGTTGGTGTCAGATCTGCTACAAGCATGATGTGATCAATACTTCAGTTTGTTTACTCTCCTCTACTTTTCTTATGTCACAAGTGCAACTGTGCACGGGAGTAGGCGAGAAGCAGCAAGACCACATGAAAACACTGGAAGAAACAAGCACGGCGGATGATAACTTTGTCAGCTCCAAATGCACATCACCTGAATTAATACACACACTGGCACATGTGACATTTATACTTACATCTGTAAGCACAGCATGCTGCACGGGACCCTAACTTCTTTTGCACAAGTGGGTCACTTCAGGGCTGCGGACCTTTCACAGTCTGATGAAGTTGCATTTAAAATATAACGTGAACGACCACACACACAAAAAAATCAAGAGCTACGTAAGTTCATGTATGTGGTTCATCCGGTGCACCGTTTATAATCTTGTAAGGTGTGATTTTTTTTTTTAATAGAGTACATGAGAAAAAAAAAACAGCTATTATGTTTCAGTCACTTTCATTGTTTGACACTAGAAGATATTATTTACTTCTGATGCCCTCAGAAGTCAGAACTTGGAAAAAGGAATGACCTCCTCCAACTGCGCTGTGGTTCAGTTGCAAGTTTGAGAGCTAGTACAGCTGGCTGATTATTGCACTCAGTAGGCTAACTGCTATTAGCAATAGCAACAATAATGGTTACCTTTACAAATACAGCATCATCTCAGCAGAAAGCGTTAGAGTAACAAAAGTGTATGCAGCTACAACCACTAAATAAAAGACATTTTGCTGGTGATGGAATGACACCAAGCACATGTCCAGACAGTGGCACAGCTGCTCAGGAAGAGTTTGTCCCTGAAAGCAGTACCACACCAAGCTCGAGCACTTGCAGCTCATGCAGGCTGGATTTCCTGGTATAAAATGAGTTCTGTCTAAACAAGTAGAAGGAATTAGCCTTGCATTTGTAATGGTTTGAGTTGTACTGGACATAACGTTTCCTGCAAGCATCCTGAGATGTTGCTATTAGAGAACATGATGAATGTTTGTTTTTCTTTGCCATATATCCTGTCAGTCAAACAGGGTTGCTCACTGACAAATAAAACTATAGAAATGAATACAATGCAAATCTGAGCAAAGCACAGTGATTCCGAGACAGTGACCTCCACATCCCCCCCATCATTGTTCTGACTGTTTGAGAGGACCCCCTCTGTGACCTCTAATCGACCTCTCTCTGCCTTGCCGACAGAACACTTGATGCTGCCTTTTTTTTTAACCTGTGGATATGTCTGAAAAACTGGTCCTACTTCAGCTCTGAGCTGTGATTGGACCATGATTACGATGGCCACTTGACTTCATGTCCTCGGAGGGAATCAGGCATGAAGGCACGGCGGAGGTCGAGCTCCTTATGCAGGTGCTTTTCACCATCCACGCTGTTTATTTTTAACAGTTGGAATAGACTAAATGAATAGATGCCCATTTAGTGCAGGTTTCTCAGGTGCAAAGAGTGTATAAATGTGAACTTCATGTTTAGGAAGAACCAGTGTGGCTTCACTGGAAAGGTTTTTGACGTAGTTTGTGCGCAACAGGCACAGATGTTTGCAAAGGAGCTGTCAGTTTGTATCAGTCAAGGAGCGGTTTGATAAAGCCACGCAGACCCGGTGACGTGAAACTAAGTTCAACAACAACAGTCATCTCTCTGCTTTGTTTGCCTGTTGCTAAATGCAAGAGACAAGAACAGAATTCACTGTGGAAACCGATCAGGAGCCCTTCTGCACTGAGGACCTCCACAGAGCTGGCATGGCCCTGGCAGCCACAGGGCCCTGTTTGTGTTGCTCTGTCCCAACTACTTGAGCTGTCTCTAAATCACACACGCCTGCTGTCATCTGCCCGTCTCGCAACTCTCACTCAAGCATTTTGACACAAGTACCAAGAGGCCGAGAGAGTTGTAAAGTTGAAACGCCACAGCTGACCTGATGTAAATCATCATCTCCTACATGAGGTACAACAATCTAAGGTAGATCAACAAGGAGCTGATCATAACAGCTTTATTATGCAGGTCTTTTCCAGGGAACATGAGTGAGGTTTAAAAATACTCCAGCAATGAATCAGTGGCCTCACTATCTTTACAGGCAGACATTGGTAATTGTCAACCAGAACAGTTAAAAAAAAGGACCAAAACAAGAGGTGTTTGCAGATTTGTCAGCCATTTTTTAAAATATGCTACCAAAAGTGGGTCTGCTATAACATTT